GAAATATTTGCCTGATACATCCAATATATGGATTATCTTTGGTTCTGTTCACAAATATATTGCCACATCTAAGTTTATCTTCTCGCATAGATTGTGGCCCTAAACTGGTTGCTTCTCATCATCTACTAAGAGTTCCTTTATGAAATTTTTTCAGTTTTAAAATAGTGTTGGATATTCTTTTTTTTTTTTTTCTTTTTGGTTGCTTTGTATTGAGGGAATGAGCCTGATAACATCTTCTAGATCATGACCTTAACTTTAAGTTGTGTTAGTGAAAGGATTTTCTTCTTTAATCAAGTAGAAAAGGCAGAATTATCCTTTTTACTCAGGATCAAAATCACAATCGAACATGGAAAGTTCCTTTCTGTTTCTTAAAGGTATCTGTTGATTCAGCTGCTTCATTCCCTGTCAAGCAGCAGTAGATTCAGTTTTTCTCCGCATCGACTAAGACACTGTCCTAACAGTTTAAGTGTTAATTCTCTCATAGGAGTGGGCAGAGGCTCTGCCCAGTGTTTTTCACTGGCTGTACACCTGCGCCTTCTCTTCTGAGCAAAATACTTCTGAAAAACACGGGTCAGCCTCCAATGACCCGTCATAATCCCTTCTCCACAGTGCATTACAACAACCCACTTCTTCACTGATTTGTTGTTTTAGGTGGCCTTCCTGGTTTAGCTTTAAGTAATTATGACCCAAACATCCAGTAAGTATGAATAGAACAACAGTGGATTTTAGAATAGATGATAGGATAAAGTCAAACATTCTGTTCAGCTCTCATATTTTACAGTATTGTTAGCACAGTAGGTTACCAAAACACAGGAATTAGCATTAGACAAGATTTGCATCAGTTCTCGTGCACAAAGATCCTATTTTACATTACCTTGTTCATCTAACAAGAAGATGTGTTTGCTGTTATTTGTACACATTTGTTATACAAAATAATTGAGTGTCTACTGTGAAAGTTCTGTGGCATGAAATCTCTGAGTCTTATGAACCTATAGATGGAGCCTTCGGAATCTCTGAGAAGCATATATGCCATGGGAATTGGCATTTGAAAACTAAATATTTAATAGAAAGTATGCCAATAACAGATCAAATAAACATAAGCATTCTATTCCGGTTCACAGTTTTAGTTCTCCATGGAGCGATTTTTTAAACTCATGTTTAAGATAGTAAGACAACACTGCAGCTGTTTCCTTTAGACCTGGATGGATTGACTTCTGGCTCATTCGGGGATTGGTAATTATGTAACATGGTTTTAAGAGCAACCTTAATTTCTCTTTTCTATCCTGAACTATGGGGACATTATTTAACAAGATTTTACATTTGAATTCCAAGAGGAAAATATACCTAACGTAATAATACTTATTCTAGAAGTATGTATTTTGCAAAAAAAGACACAATTGTAAATATTACAAAGAAAAATTACCATATCATGCTTAGTCCTCAAAGTCCCCCTGCAAGAAATATTTGTATTATTTTAAGCATTTTTTCAGTTTCTGGAAATAATACAAAGTCTAGTAAGAATTGCTAAAATACTGTAGTGAAGATATCTTACCTCATTTTATAAATTTTGGTAGCTGATTAAAGTCCCTGAGTGCTTCTTTATGAACAGAATACTAATTAGAAGTATATAGATAGATTTTAAAGAGTAGAACTCCAAGTCAGGTAAACTTATCTTTTTGGGGCTGACCAAACAAAGACAGCTATTATTTCCATCTTCATATGGAACTTAATATTTACAAGTAAAATATAATACCTAATTTCCCTTATGTGCAAACACTTTCAATATTACTGATATCCCTAAGAGGTATCATGCTGCTCAAAAACTGTTGCTCTTGTTTTGTTTTTCTGTAATACATATGTTCTTAAACATGAATATATATGAGTGACATAGGGTTTTTGTCCAAAAGTGTGTCCCTTGTCTTCAATCTCAGAGATTCCAAATATCAGTCGAGAGTGGGACTCAGGAACGTGCATTATAATCATGGAAATCTGATCCAAGTGGTCCAAGGATAATATTTGATAAATATGACTTTAAGCACTCTAGTAAGTACTCTGTGACACTGTGGTTGTTCTTTAATAATTGTGAGACTCAATTTTCCATATTTGAATTTATAGAATAATTGTAGTTGATCTATCACATTTTTTTAGGTAGACTTTTAGATATAAGGTGATGATAGTAATATTATCTTACTTTTATATTTAACATCAATTAGAAATCATGGTACAAGGATGGAAATACTGATAAACTTACTTGCATGTAATACTTTGTATACTTTTTGATGTTTTATAAAGTTTGTATTAGTTGTTGCACACACACATGCACACTCACAAACCAAAACCAAACTAAAAAAGAAAACACTGCACACATGAGAATACTGAGGTTAAGAAAGAATAAGTGACTTAAACTGAGAGTACAGAGGGACTGAGGTCCATTGATTCTGGGTTCAGTGCCCTCCTGAGTACAGTGCAATGCATCCCTATTGTGAGAGCTGATAACGGCTAAATTGCTACAGAAAGTTGACTCACCCATTCAGCTTAGTGCTAACTGTGAAACAGGCAATATGCCAGATACAACAGTTAATGAAGCAAACACAATTCCTTTCCCTCAAGAAGCTTACATTCTACAGTGGAGAGAAAAGAATGGACAGAGGGGGTGAGCCACAGGTAAGCTGGTGAGTCCACGAGTTAGAAATATGCCTAGCATATATTAGAAGAATCAAGGAAGTCAATATGATTGTAAATAAGGAGAAAGGAGGAGAAGAGGAGGAGATAAGATAAAAAATGTTAGATAGCTTAAGAGGGGAGGAGGGGGTGAGATGTAGGGAAAGAGCAACACGGAAACTTACATTACCATATGTAAAATAGACAGCCAACAGGAATTTGCTGTCTGGCTCAGGAAACTGGAACAAGGGCTCTGTATCAGCCTAGAGGGGTGGGGTGGGGAGGGAGGCAGGAGGGAGGTACAAAAAGGAGGGGATATATGTATACCTATGGCTGATTCATGTTGAGGTTTGACAGAAAACAGCAAAATTCTATAAAGCAATTATTCTTCAATAAAAAATAAATTAATTAAAAAAAAAGCTTGTGGATCAACAGTGGGACTTTGGCTTTTAACATGAATGAGATAGAAAGTCATTAAAGTTTTCTGATCAAAGGAGTACTGTGATCCAACTTATGTTGTACCGGGCTAATTACAGTGTTTTGTTTTGTTTTGTTTTGTTATTTTGAGATTGGGCTTCCCTGATAGTTCAGTTGGTAAAGAGTTTGCCTGCAACACAGGAGACCTCGGTTTGATTCCTGGGTTGGGAAGATCCCCTGGAGAAGGAAAAGGCTACCTACTCCAATATGCTGGCCTGGAAAATTCCATGGACTTTATAGTTCATAGAGTCACAATGAGTCAGACATGACTGAGCGACTTTCACATCACTTCACTTTTTGAGGTTAGTATAGGCAGAATAAAATAGAAAGCTATTGAAACAGGAGATGTAAGTGACATAAGCTAGCTTGTTACTTGTGGAGGTAGCAAGAAGTTATCAGATCCACTAATATGGAAGTAGAAAAATAATTTTTGCCAACAGATTGTATATTGGGCTTGAGAAAAGGAAGTCAAGAAGACTTCAATGTTTTTCTCCTGTGTATCTAGAATGATGGACTGTCAGGAATATAAGGACAACCAGGGTACAATGCCTTTTTGAAGGAAGACTATGAGTTCAGTTTGCACATTTTAATTTTGAGATGCTTAGCAGACATTCAATTCTATATCCTAATTAGGGCAATGGGTTCAAGGAGACAATTAAGGGAAAGATTCAGATTGAAATATTGAATCTGGGAGTCCTCAGCATATACTCATTGTAATGGCATTCATGAAACTAGATAAGGCCACTTAATGAAGAGAACCCAGGGCAGAAGCTGAGTAGAACCTTAGAAGAATCTAAAAGGTAGATGGATGAGCATCTAGGGATATAGAAGTAAACCAGGTAAGTGCTTTTATCCTGGATAACAAGTGATGAAAATGCTTTGAGGGCAAGAACATGATCAACTCTGTCAAATGCTTCTTATCAATCTACCGGTTGATTACCAATGTGAAAGTACCCAGTGATCTTCATAAGAACAGTTTTCTCAGTGTGAATAAGATATGGTATAAAAAGTCTGATCAAAGTCAGTTCAAGAAAGAATGAGAGAGAATTTTAGACAGCAGATTTAATAAATTCACAAAAATAACTTAGTTCTAAAGGGAAGGAAAAAAAAGTGAATTAAGAGAAAAATAGCATTCAGAAATTTTTTTTTTTTTTAAGATTGAAGGAATGGAACTGTGGTTGTATTCTGGCAAAAAATAAACAACAGAGAAAAAAGTCTGATAATAAAGAGGAGAGTACTTCTCTCCTGGTCCAGTGGTTAAGAACTCACCTGCCAGTGGAAGGGACATGGGTTTGATCACTGGTCCGGGAAGATTCCACATGCCGTGGGACAAGTAAGCCTGGGTGCTGCAACTAGTGAAGCCTGAGTACTCTAGAGCCCATGATCTGAAACAAGAGAAACCGCCACAATGAGAAACCCACACACCACATCTAGAGGGTAGCCCCACTCGATGCAACTAGGGAAAGCCTGTGCCCAGCAGTGAAGACCAAGCACAGCCAAAAAGAAATAAAAAAGAAAAAAAAAGCATATAGAGGAGAGAATTGCTAGATTATTTTCCTGGAAAGGATGGGAGCTAATGCCCAGAGGCAGGCAAGGACTTTATAAAAAAGACAAAAACCAGGCAGTTTATTCCTGATAACGGGGGAAGTGTAGGGCCTTAGTAGATGCAAGTGTTACTGGCCCTCTGGAGTCTGTCCCCAGGTAAGGTCCTTCTGCTGGTGTCCTCAGAGGCAACAGAAGCAAAGGAAACCTTTGTTGTTTGCCGAAAGGACAGAGAGGCGAGATCAGGCTCTAGGCTGCGGTCCCCAAACTCGTGGATTGAATGCCTGATCTGAGGTGGGGCTGAGGTAATAATAACAGAGCTAACGTGCACGGTAAATGCAATGCATGTGAATCATCCTGAAACCACTCCGCACTCCCGTGTCCTTGGAAAATCTGTCTTCCTCAGAACTGGGCCCTGGTGCGAAAACGTGAGGCACCTGTGCTCTAGAGCGCATGCGCCCCCTGAAAGGCCGCAGCGGGGGCCGCTTTACAGAGCGCGGTTTCCGGCCTGAGGAGGGGGCGGAGTTCCCTGCGCAGCGGCAGCCCGCTCCCCTCTCGCGAGACCAAAGCGCCAGGGGCGGCATCTCTGCAACGGCCGAGGCCTGGCGAGCGGAGGCCTGGGCGTAGCCATTTCACGGCAGGAACTCAGGTGTGAAGCCCCGGCGTGAGGCTCTGCACGTGGCATCCTATGAGCAAGCAAAGCTAGAACCAGGAAAAGGAAAAGGAAAAAAAAAACAGACTTTATTTTATGACCCAGATTCTACTTGTATTTCCTGAGACTTGTTGATGAACTTTGCAGGTGATACAAATAAGGTATGGAAGCCATTCTGTTCTGGAAGCTGGCGGGGATTTCTCTCTTGTTTTCTCAGTGATTTATGCAGCCAGGCATTGAAGTGACTGGGAGGATGCGGGAAGAGGTGTTGGAGATTTGAACTGAGGAGAAATAAGGAGTGTGGGACTGTGACTGGATTATCAAAACTGTAATGTGATTCCTCTGGATCACTCGGAGCTTTGTTTTGCCGCAGGAATGTAAACTGAAGCGTCAGCAATTTTAAGCTAAGTTGTCACTCACTCACTATCCACACTGGTTCAAAGATTCGTTTCACTCTCTAACGTCTTTCCTGTATTTGTATGAGTCCTTATTACGCCTATGTCAGGTGTTAGTCTGAGATTTGTGGGCGTGCTTCAAACCAGAATCCAGAACACTTAGCTTTTACCACCTTGGCTTCTGTAATGGCTCAGCGGGTAAAGCATCCACCTGTAATACAGTAGACATGGGTTCAATCCCTGGGTTGGGAAGATCCCCTGGAGGATGGCATGACAACCTCTCCAGTGTTCTTGCCTGGAGAATCCCATGGATAGAGGAGCCTGACAGTCCAGTGTGTTACAAAGAGTGGGAAACAGCTGAGCTGCTAAGCGCAAGCCAAGGGCATGAGTGGGTAAGACCTGAGGTTTCACATACCGAATTAGGGGAAGGCTTTCTTGGGTTAGCTCCCCTCTGTGACTGTGTATGTCCTATAGCCCAAGGGCCCCCGTCACCCCTGTTCCAGGCTAATGAGCTTTCTATCAGTTTCATCTGCCTTACCTTTTTTTTTTCCATGGTAGTCTGTGACTAGGACTCCCCTCAAGGCAAAGTCATAGGAAGGGAAAAACCAAGATGAAACACAAATCTCTGCTTCACTCCTCCAACATTTCATTTTTCTGCACAGGTCTTACTTTTCAGAGTGCTTCATTATTAATTTTGGTTTTTGGTTTTGTATTTTATCCACAATTTTATTTTTAATCCACATAAGTTATGAGCTGTAGTGAATTATGGGCAGTATAGCCAAAAATCCAGAATTTCCATCCTTGTTTTGGTAGAAATAGTATAAAACTTGGTAAAGTCTGTCCTACGTAGTGTTTCATACGTTGTCTATGATGTGAACTGGTTTGACGGAAAAAAATGTATACAGCATAAAAGATAGAGGAGAGATACAGAGACGTAGCCAGATAGAATACTCCTTGCATTTCTTATAAACTTTACTTATTAGATACATTCTTTTCTAAGGGACAGTCATATTCTTGCCCTTCAGTTTTACGAAAATTTCTTATATACTTACAAAATATTACCCACTTTTACTTTAATTGTACTCCCAGTGAGCTCTCTTATTTATAACCTGAAGAGAGTTACAAATGCAGAGATAGGCTACGAGACTTTAAAAGGTTTTTATTTTAAATCCCAGGAGGTTTTAAGCCCTCTCCAAAGACAAGAAACTTTGGGATGGATCAAGTACAAGTAGAATGCTTGGGGACACATACTTGGGCCATGGCTCTAAGGCATGATGGGAAAAGGAAAGGTGTAGGATCATACACTACCCACTGAACACAAGGTTGACGTTTTTCTGTGCTGTGCGTGCTCTTTTTTCCACTAAAATGTCCAGAGAGACTAATCTTTTATGCTGTGTCTCTGGATTTTCTGTAAGATAGGAAACATTGCAGTATTAAGGGCTTCATGAAGGAAGCTTTATGTAACACATGCATATCTAACACATAGTTTTAGTTCTCTAAGAGGCATTCAGCTCAAATATTAGTGCCAATTTTCAATTGAAAACGTTTCTGGCCCTGAAAGTCAGCTTCTCTTGAGTGATATGATTTTGTCTGCTTATTTCTTTTTTGACATGTAGAGACTTCTCTTTTTCTAGCTGAACTTTCCTTTTCTTTTTTCTAACTTATCCTTGTTTTTTCATGGTAATATATGGAGTGTCAACTTATCAAAATCAGTTGAATTCATATGATATTTTCCTTGACTATTCAATGAAAATTGACGTTTTTGGTTCTAAAGTAAACACAATGTGGAGTAAAACCATCTGTGGGACAAACCTCCTGTCTTAAAAAATAAACATTTTTTTTGAGCTGGGGATCTTTGGGTTACCCTGGCTTGGCATTCTCAAGCTGGAAATTAGTTCAGCTAGTAATCCATGGGAACTCCTCAGCACAAGTTCTTGAAATTAAATCTAAAATTGTTTTGCTAAGTCCTTATGGTGCTTAAAAAAAAAAAAAAGTGGGTGTTTTTGTATTTATCTTTTTGTCCTTAAAAAATAAAATGGAATTTCACCTTTGCAAGATAATTCATGTTTTGGTTAAGTTTTGATAATATTAATCAATTTTGAACATATCAGAATGGGGGGGAATGATAATTAAATGAAAACCATTATCTAATATTGATATTATTTAATATTATATAATATTGACCACATAATGAGCTGGTCTCATTTATTAATCCTGTGACTGCTTTCTGGAACGTGTAGTAGATTGAAGTTCTTCAAATTTTTGAAGTCAGATATCTACATTTCTCTCTCCCTTGACTTACAAGAATGTCAGTGGAAACTATTTGTCAGAAACACCAAGATGCTCGTTCAAGCTTGTTTCTGCTTAGCAAGAAGCCATTACAAGATTTTAGATCACCAAAACGACTGTAAAGAAACTATAAAAATAAATATAAATGATTAGCCTTTAAACAAAAGAGTTCAGCTACTGTTGGTGATGCTTGCTAACCACCCCTTGTTAATAGTGAATCTCTCTGTTAGTTGCTCTGAGCAGATTGCATTTTTTGGAGAAAAGATGGATGTTTGTAAAAGTGAAAGATAAAAGTCATATCTATGGAGAAATAAAGCCAAGGCCTGATGTAGGCAGAATAGTGCAGAGGCTTGTAAAGAGCTGAGGTAGGGACAAGACTGTGCTCACTCCAGTGCATTGTAGCCATTCTTATTATTACTGAGCCAAATAATTCTACCTTACATTGGCAGTGCTTTTAATATTTATAAAGTGATTTCACATACAGCAGTTGATTGATATCAGTTGGTAGATGCAACAAGAGGAAGTGTTGCTGTTTCTTTCTGTGATACCACATGGTCTTCAGAATAGAAAAAGATCTGGGAGCTGAATCAGTTCCCTGATTTACAAACTTGTTTTATGTCTCCTGTTAAGGGTGGAACTTACCCTGGTGTAACCAGCCAGTGATCACAGCAGGGAACAGGTAATAGGGATTCCCCAGTTCAGCAAGAGAAACTGACAGGGAGATGGGGGGATGAAATGCACGGTGAGAGAGGGAATATGAATGAACGAATTTCTTTCTTGGCTGATTTTCTTCTGGAAGATAATGTTTGAAAACAAGAGGAAGAATTTCCATAACTTCTTTCCAACATAGCCTGAGGCCATATCCAGGTATTCACTGAAGCATTACTTCAATGAAGAATAACACTGATGTTATTAGTAAGTCCTTGGTGAATGGAAATTATTGTTGGAATACATGGAATTCTTAATAAACATTCTAGGCAGGTGAAGGGTACTTCACAATCTGTGTCAATTTACCGACACAGAAACTACTTTAGTTCTTCTTTCTGGGAAAACGTCAAGGACCAGAGCTAAACTCTATGTATTTATACAAGTTGATAAGATAATTTATTCAACTATACTAGATGCTGTTCCTGGACTTTTTCCATGTTCAGTTATATCTTAGATAAACACTGTGTGGGACCAAAAAACCAAAACGACCAAACCCCTCAGCTTTGTTCTCTTGGTTGCCTCCTTTGAACTGCCTGCCTCCTCTCCAGCCCTCTTGCCCTCAGCTCTGGAAGCATTTAGTAGAGGAAATCTTTGGACTCTAAGCTATATCATGCTGTGACTCCTGCTGAGCTGCTTCAGTCGTGTCCGACTCTGTTATCCCATGGGTGCAGCCTGCCAGGCTCCTCAGTCCATGGGGTTCTCCAGGCAAGAATACTGGAGTGGGTTGCCATGCCCTCCTCATGGGGAGCTTCCCAACCCAGGGATCGAACCCAGGCCTTCTATATTGCAGGCAGATTCTCTACCACTAAGCTATGGCAGATTCTGTACTATTGGGCTACCAGGGAAGCCCCATCTATATCATGAGGCCTGCGTAAAGATCTATATTCTCTTTGGTTTTGCTTTCAAGTAGGTTCACCTGCATTTCAGTTGTTGGTTTTTTTATTAATTTAAAACAGTTGATACTCTTGATACCTTATTATTTCTGCTTTTACTTATTTAAAGCTAGGTATTAGTTGATAAAAATTCAATATGTTTGGATGGCCAGTATATAAAAATACAAGTGTAAATAAGCAGCTTCTTATACTTTTTATACAATTATATTATATTATCAAATATAAGAATATGAGACACAATGGTTACTTTTTTGGTTTTCAGTTATGTATATCACTGAGAATTTCCCAAAACAAAGCACTTATAAATTTAATTTTCTAAAGACAGCCTTGCATTTCATGGTTTTGATGTACATAATTAAAGAAAAATAATTGCTGGTATCCTGTTCCTAGGATTTTACAATAGAACAATGATATAATGATTTAACTTGTACATGCATCAGTAAAAGTATATATGGGGATAAATATTTAAAGAATTACTAGGTCAAGAGTCAGATGCCTTTGAAATGTAGTTAATTGCCCAGTTACCCTGTCAAGCCAGAGACTTATTCTTTCTCCTAAGGTGTATGCCAATGCTTATTTCTTCATGCCCTTATTGGGCATTATAACTTTTTAGTAGTTGTTAATGTGATAGGGAAAATCTTATTATA